TATATTGTTGGCCAATTTTAATCGATAGGTTGGCTACTATCTTACCTAATTTATTAATCTGCCAACTAAAATTTTATTGATTCTAACCTTATTTCCTATTTCCCATGCTAACAAAAAAAATCTAATTAATTGAATATGGGATCTAATTATTACTTGATCTAATAAAATATGAAAGAAGATTTAATCCTAAATTTCCTATTGGCCAATTTTAATTTTGGCTACTATCTTACCGAATTTATTAATCTAACAACTAAAATTTTATTGATTCTAACCTATTTCCTATAACTTTCGATGCTAACAAAAAAATTTAATTAATTGAATATGAGATCTAATTATTACGTGATCTAATAAAATATGAAAGAAGATTTGATCCTAAATTTCCTATTGGCCAATTTTAATTTTGGCTACTATCTTACCGAATTTATTGATTTGACAACTAAAATTTTATTGATTCTAACCTTATTTTCTATAACTTCCCATGCTAACAAAAAAAAATCTAATTAATTGAATATGGGATCTAATTATTACGTGACAAATATGAAAGAAGATTTGATCTTAAATTTCCTATAACCATAACTATGAAAAAGAAAAAAAGAAATAGGATTTGACCATAATAATAGACCAATATGGTAGATCTACATCATATCCAAACACCATTTTACTTTTTCCCAAATCTGACATTTTTTCTATTTTTTTTTTTATGAACCGTGATATGGTGGAGTTGAGGGAAGAGGATGCTGTTGGGATGAGAGGTTAGGGAGGTGGGTAAATTTTATTTTTATTTTTATTTTGAAGTAATCCTTTTTAGTTATTTAATTATGAATTATTATTATTTTTATTATTCTGATGAATTGCTCTATTGTATGCAAGCTTTACAAATGGTAAACATTCGTCACAAGAATTAATATTCTTAGAAATAATAGACCTAGCAACGCTTCTAATGTTTTATTAGCCACCTCAGTGCATTTTGAGAATGACATGTAGTTGAAAACAAGAATTAGGTACTCAATTTACTCAAAAACTCAATTTACCTAGGAGTGACTTAAAAATTTAACATCCCTATCACTAACAATTATTCTAGGGATTCCATGTAATCTTACTACTTCCCTCATCAATAAGTATGCAACATGCAAAGCATGATCCTGCATAACATAAAATAAGTCATTTTACTAAATCTATCTACCACAATAAAAATACTATATTTACCCTTCTGTGCTGCCAACCACGAACAAAATTCATAGATATATTATTCTAAGGTTTGTAGGTACATTCAACGGAGTATACAATACATTGGGTTGTGATTTAGATTTAGCTTCTTTGCATTTAAAATATTGGATACAAAACTTATGAACATCGTGCTTCATCTACGGCCAAAACAAGTGTTCAAGCAACATATTATAAGTTTTATTAATCTCAAAATGTCCCATTAAGCTAACACCATATGCTTCTTTTACCAGTAAATCAGAATTTAGGAGTACAAAGCTTTTTTTTCTTAAATAAAAGAAAACACATAATAATCTTTCGCAAGACAAGATGCATTAATAGTTTCAAAGTCGTTGATTAAAGCAAACAATTTTTTAAGTAGGATAGTTCAATGCTGCTGCATTTAGTTTTTCACTAAAATGTTTTCCTTCTTGCATCAAAACAGCCCCTATGTCCAAATCACTGTATCATACTCAATTTCAAAAGTTTTACCAAAGTTAGCAAGACAAGTAATGGTGCCCTTTAGCTAATTTCTTCTTAAGCTCATCGAATGCATTCTTTTGTATATCCTCATTAAAAACAACATTCTTTTTCACTAAGTCATTCAATGTTGCAGCTATGGTACTTTATTAATCTCTTATAGAAACTAGCTAATCGATGAACTCACGTGCATTTTTTTGTGTGTTGGCAAACCTCGAATGACTTTAACTTCTCTATCTACTTCTATTCCATTTTGACCAAATATGAAACTAAGAAAGTGAATTTTTTTCATACAAAAACAAGACTTATTGAAATTAACATGAAGTTTCTCTTTTTGTATGTGTAATCAAAATTGACTTAACATGACACACATGCTCATACAACGTCTCCAAATAAATTAAAATATCATTAAAATACACAACATTCTTCCCATATATTCTCTCAAAACCCGATTAATTAAGAGCATACACAACACCAGCTACTGAATAATAGTAGATTTTTTTTTAAAAAATTTTTCTATTAGGGTTTAGGGATATTATCAAATTTTTTAAATCACTGGACTGATACTTCTTATGAAAATATTTTTCAATTCTTTAAAAAAAATTAGAGATATTATTAAAATTTGTACACGTGTGCATTTTTAAACCGAGGTACTTAGCAAAAAGAGATTTTTTCTCTCCTAATCTTTGACCAAGCAATTAAAATGATCTCAAATCATTTTTTTTAAAAAAAATTAAAATTAGGGTAAAAGCGCCTATTTTACCCCACCCACGCTCTTTCACTATTTCTGCGACGGCGACCCTTCTCAGATCTGCAACAGTATCCACCTCCGCCGTTTCACCACCTACCCGACCACCTCGCTCATCTGCAACGCCCAACTTTTGCTTTCCCGGTTCTGCGGCGGAAAAGTGCTTCCAGCGATGATCGAGATACACTGTGATTAACTTAGTGCGTTAGTTCCCTTTCAGTTACGATCCAGTCGGCAGCGACGTTTTCAGCAACTCCAATCGTTAGGAATTGAAGTGCATTAAGGACCTTAGTAAGTAGTTCACATTTTAGGATTGTTTGATTATATGATTCTTGAACTTGTTTGATTACTTTTATAAGTTGCATCTACTGTCAAATTGATGAATTGTGTGCTTGGATATGTTTGAGAAAATACGCATTGTTTTGACTGTGACACAGAATGATACCCCCAAAGAGCTACCCTTTTCAACTCAATAAGCCTCAATAGTAGATAAGGCACAAATGGAGCTGGAATTGTATACTCAGGATGGGAGAAAGAAGTAGAATGTAAATGCCCTGCCCTAGGAGTATATTGAAGGTCTAACGAAGAAGGAGAGGAAGAAGGAAAGGAACATGAGTAGATGAAAGAGATATTAGGCATTCGAACAGTGAATGCTGTTGAAGGTAAAAAAACTTGAAGATGAGTGGCAATGTCGACCGAGGATGCTAGGAGATCGAGAAATTTGAACACATTTAGAAGCTTCCAAAATGATTTTAAAAACGCCTAAGTTTTCTGTTTGAATTCATTTCAACATCAGAGAAGAGAGGGAGGAGGACACATCTTCGAAAATGCTAAATAGAAGAATCTGAAGTTGACTTATCGAACCCAACCTCTATGGATCGATCTGGAATGACCAGACGACACATTCGTAGAACATAAGAACCCTTAAATGTTAAAGCACCTTGCACATGCCTGCTTGCTGGTCTAGGCTCACCACCCTTCATGATGAAAAAGACATTCATACACTGCCCACAATAAACACTAAAAATGCAGGCTCATCTTTCTGCCCCGTGACTCCAGCCTCTTAAGGAGAAACCCTTTTCACACCATAGTCAAATTTATCCTTGTATTTCTATTATTTTTTTCCCATTTTTATTACAATTCAATATGCTAATGTCAACTTGTATATTTTCCTGCTAACTGTTAGGTAGTTAATAGTTGAATGATGAGTTCCATTGTATGGTTGTGACAAGCTATGTACCAGAATTGGTTTGCTGTAGTGATGACTAATGAGATAATTCTGTTTGTCTATCTAATGGTGCATCTATTTTGTGATATTCCATTGCTCGTGTTTTTCTTTAGGCTTTAGGCTCCAGTAAGTATTTATAGCACAACAGATGTGGTTGTACGTGTTTAGAAATTAGGAACTCAGAGGTTCGGCATTGTGCTGCATGTCTAACTTAAAAAACCTTTTGTCTAAACCTAAAGGTCATAGATTTATTTCCTTCTCCTCCCATGTCAAGTGCTAAAACTGTTTTGATCTAGATGACCATCCTGAAATGATGGTTTTCAGTTTTGGACTTGGTTAACCTTAAACTGGAAGTTTATTTGTTTCATTTATTTTTTTAGGGAATTACACAAATTGCAAAATACAAATGTGACTTTGTGTTACATTCTTTAATTTACAAGAACTAATGATAACATATTCGATATTACCCCTAAATTTTGTCGTTGTTTAAAAAATACCTCAATTATTTCAAAAGTTGCAAGAATTATCCTTGTTGTAAATGTTTCAAAATTACCCTTTCATTAGAATGTTGAATGAAAAGTCACTGTGTCTTAATATGGTTCTTTCAAACTTAATCCACACAAGCATTCTAGTTATTGCCAAGTCATTTTAAGTAATATTCACGTCAATTTTTTTTTTTTACAATATTCTAAAGAATTTCTGCTCGAAGGGTGGTATTGAAACCTTTATGAAAAGTAATTTTTTTTAGGAAAAACAATTAGACACACACTTCCTGACTTGTTTGCAGGGTAAGTGTATAGTCGTTATGGATTTTTAAATATATTCTTCGCTTTTACCTTTCGTTTCAAATAACTTTCTTGTTGATGTGGTGAAATAAGATTTATGAACTCTGCTGTTGTATTTGTATGTTTCTTTTGTTATAGCAATATATTTTTTCATTCACAAAGAGTGATGATAGGATATTAAATACTATAGTATTTTTATGATATTATACAAGTAATGATATATTTAAAAGTACAGTATCTTTTATGTTATCTTGTCAAAAGTTAGTTTTTATGAGAAAAGAATATTGGACACAGGCTAATTTACAAACTGTAAATGCATAGTTATTATGGATTTTTATATATGTTCTTCACTCTTAGTATTAGTTCCAAATAATTGTCTTGCTGAAGTGCTGACATTAGGTTTCATGAACTCTGATGTTGCATTTGTGCGATTTTTTGTTATCCTTTTATTTATCATGAGGGATATGCTAAATAATTGTAATATTTTTCCAACTTTTCTTCAGGTATGAAGCCAATTTTTTGTGGAAACTTTGAGTATGATGCTCGACAGCCTGATCTAGAAAGACTTTTTAGTAGATATGGCAAAGTTGATAGAGTAGATATGAAATCTGGTGAGCTTATAGCGATGGTATATCTGTTTGTGTTTTGATTCCTTTTGTCTTATAATAAACTTATGAGATGCATATTAAAAACTTAAAAGAAGACGTTTGTGTTTTGATTCCTGAATTTGTTTTAAAGGTATTGTATTATTTGTATCATGTCAATGCATATCAATTAGAAAAAAGTTGAAAGGTTGATGTTGAAACGAGGTGCTTGCACTTTGTGAAGTTTCTGTTAGTCTTAAATATATGCAAAATACTGAACTGAAAAAGTTACTATCCGCTAAGAAGCGGTGGATTCAACCTCGGGAAGGCAATTCAGCTGTTGGAAATTCCCCCAAAATTGAAGTTGTTTGCATTGCATTTGGTGCCTTGCAGTACGCATGGCCATCATCCAGCATATGAAATCAGAGAAGGCAACATTTGTTGAGCTTTTTCGGTGGGGGATTCTAAAAGACTTTGAGAAAAGAAGAGCGTACTTTTTAAATCCTGAACCTCCTTGGCCAGAATTTTCTTTGGTGCAGGATTTTCTTTGCATATTCATCATAATCTTCTTGGATAAAGATCGCTCTTCAGAATTGAGTTTTCCGCCTGTGACAAGCTTCCTCTTCTTGTTTCCAAGAAGATTCATACTGATCCTCAATGGCACTACCATCTTACATTTTACTCCGACATTTTGCTTTCCAGTTTCCATTCCTCATGACTTTTGCCTGCCTACAATTCATACACTGTTTCACGGTTCAAACATAAACAACCTCATCTGAGGCTGCAGAATAATGGAGAAGGCACTTTCTATTTGTAGATCCACCATGAGACATCCTGTTTTGGATTATTGCTCCTTGCACCACTTAGGACACGACACAAGGTTTATAGATTTTACGGTGGTTGCGAATATTTCTTTCTTATGGTAAGATATTTTTGTGGTTTCTTGAATATTTGTTTGAGAAAAATGATATTGCATTTTAAGAAATTCTTTGGTGGGAAAATTCTCATTTTTATCGCTGTTGGTGTCTCACAGATGCAACAACTAGTCATTCAGTTTTTGTTGTTTGATTGGTTTACAGGTTTTGCTTTTATCTACATGGAGGATGAGAGAGATGCTGAGGATGCTATCCGTGCACTTGATCGGAGAGAGTTCGGCCGAAAAGGCCGCAGACTACGTGTTGAGTGGACCAAAGTAATGTACATTGATATGGCATGCTTCCAATTTCCTTTTCATCCCTTTGGGGAGCTTTTATTTGATTTTATTTACTATACCTTTAAATTGTATTTCGTTCCATAATTCTTTTGCTCTATAGCAAGAACGTGGCATTAGAAGACCAGGTGGAGGTGGAGGAGGCTCAAGGAGATCCTCTACTAATACAAGGCCTTCGAAGACTTTATTTGTTATTAACTTTGACCCATATCATACTAGGACAAGGGATTTGGAGAGGCACTTTGATCCTTATGGTAAGATATTGAGTGTAAGGATCCGAAGGAATTTTGCATTTGTCCAGTATGAATTGCAGGAAGATGCCACTAGAGCATTGGAGCTTACAAATATGAGGTGAGTTTTCCGTCATTGATTTGCATTTTATTTGTACTACGGTCATGTATTGAAGTTTGATTAGTCAATCCACCTTTGCCTCTGTTACACAGACCATCTGAAGGAAATTACATTTATATTTTCACTTGAACTAGGCCATTGATTACATATTCAGTTATCGTTATTATTGTGTACAGCAAATTGCTAGATCGAGTGATTTCGGTGGAATATGCTGTTCGAGATGATGATGAGAAAAGAAGTGGATATAGTCCAGATAGGAAATGTGATAGGTCTCCTGATAGAAAACGGCGATCCCCAAGTCCCTTTAGAAGAGAGCGAGGAAGCCCTGATTATGGCATCAATGGTATTAGCCGCAGTCCATATAAGAAACAAAGGGCTAGTCCTGATTATGGAAGTCGTCGTAGTCCAAGTCCTTATCAGAGAGACATGGAGAGGGGTTCTCCTGATTATGGCCGTCGTCGTAGCCCGAATCCTAGTCCTTATAGTAGGAGGGAGCGAGAGAGATCAACTGACCATGTTAGGGCCGCTAGACACAGTTCTCCTCATCAGAGGGAAGGAGCAAATGAAGACCCAGTCCCCAACCGAATTTGCAGTCCTTATGAGAGAGAGAGGGAGAGCCCTACTGGTGAACGTCGCAGTAGCTATAGTCCTCGTGATAGAGAGAGATCAAACCCTGACAATGGTCATGACCAACGGCTAAATACAGTAGGAGAACCTGGTGATAGCCCCAGTTTTGGTGGGACTGAGAGCCCAAAGCATCGGGGATATAGCAGGTTCGTTTTCTTCTTCTCATTGATCCTCTTTCTAAATTTTTCTTATGCGTTCATGTTTTATGGTGTTGCAGCCGTTCCCCTCGAGCTGAGGAATGACGAAGGATTAACAAAATGAGAAATGATGTTGATCTCAATCTGCTTCAGAGTATGTTTAGTTGTAAATGAGTCTCAGAGGTTACTGTTAGGATATTGTTTTGTGATTTCCAAGTACACTCATGCTTCAATTTTAGTGATTAAATGGCTATTCTGTTACTGGATTTAATACCACAGTCGAAATAAGTAGCACCCTTGTCCATATTTTGACAAGTATTTCATCTTTGTTCCTTGTTGCTTACCTAGTTTTATAAAAGTGAAACTGTTTGGTGTTGATCTCGATTATAAGAGGGAGTTTGGAATGACTTTGATGAATATGAATTAACATGTACTCTCGACCAAGACCATTGTTTCAAATCTACTTGAAAAACAGAAATGGAATGACTTTTTAGAAGGGTTGGAAGTGCTTTTAGCAGCTTAAAAAGCAAGTTCTAAAATTAATTTTCATATTTAAATGCAGTGTTTGATTGTATAATTTATAAAGATTGATTTAGAAATTTCTTACAATGTTGCATAACATCGATCTTTGAATGTTGAATTTTAATTCTGGTGTTATCAATACTTCTCTGAATTGGTTAATCATTAGGACTAAGGATTTATATCAATTTCATTAGTTTTATTTTTAAATTTGATGTAAAGTACACTTGTGGTTCCTACGGTCTTGTTTGGTTACTAAATTTCTAAAAAAGTTTCATCAAGTAGGTTTTAAAGGGTTCATCGACTATTAGTTTTGGTCACAGTTACAGTCATACTTCCTCAATCTTGTGTCGTAACCTTGTCACACTCACGATAAGCTTTAAGGGGTATTCAAACCCCATTCACATTTTTCGCTCTTTGTGGCTTCGTCAAGTGAGGTTTGTTTTTGTCAATCGATATTACTTGTGCGAAATTTAAACTTGTACGGCTACACACATTGCCTGCATGTGCATGTTCAATCGTTTGCAATACAAATGACTTACAAGTGACTTGCCTCTACACTAAGACAAGTCATTCGACTCAACTTCGAGCCAAGGTCCCCCAATGCAACGTTGCACCCCATTATTTCATCTCGGTTCTCAACAACCTGTTTATCGTGATACCATCCCATGTCTCGAGACAGCTCGACCACATCTGCTTGAAAACTAGCTCATGTGTCGACCATCTCATCAAGACATCCCAAACATCCATTCACTCGGGTGCTCATCAGGCATTAGACTCTCCAATGTCCATACTAGATCATTTACAACATCTGTTTTTCCATAATAGATCATTTACAACATCTGTATTTCCATACTATATCATTTACATCTGTTTTTTCATACTAGATCATTTACCACATTTGTTTTAGAAACAGGTGTATGATCCAACCTCTAACACATGGGCTAGGGCACAATACTGACACGCTCGTGGCATTTGGCACTGTTCTTGAAAGACCCGTTTGAAAGGAAGATGCTCAAGACGCTCATCCTGCGATGCTCACCCACGTATGACACACATACTTGGCATAGGATAGCTCGCTTAAGCCACAGGTCAAAGGTGGTGGAGAGTCGGCACCTCCCCCTACGGTACATTTTGAAAAAATTTCAATCCTTCTCAAGTAGACATCATTTTGACAAGTGGACATAGGACCACGTGCATAGTCCGTTGAGTATCTAATTGACACCAAATTTGGTGAGCTTTCATCTTTCATATAGATGGACTTAAATTTAGAGCTGCATATTGAAACTTTGACTTCTAAGGTTATGGCCTGGGTCCTACCCAACCCTCTTTGAGCTTGTCTTTGATACTCTGTCCTCTCGTTCTTTCGAACCTTGTGTATGCCTCGACTTAATTTAAATGCACACTCTTGGTGTGTTGGATGATGCGCTGTTCTCCTCGGTCGCATCATGACATTTTTCAAATTTGGCCCTCAGGTGGCTACAAGGGCACCACTTGAGGGTTGCCCTTGTCTATATTGCATGTGGGGGGTCACAACCTAGTTTCTCTCGGTGAAGTTGTGACACTCTCCCCTACTTAACCTAGACATCGTCCTTGATGATTTTCTCGGAGGCATAATCGATCATGGATTGTGATTCTCCCCCACTTAATCTTGGCATCGTTCCAATGACGACCCGAATATTGGATTGTTTGCTCGTTTGACCCCCTAGCTTGTTCGTGCTTTTAGAATGAATGGGGAAACTTGCGCACTACTTATGAGAAAACTGTATTGCAAAGGTTTGTCAAAACATACTACACGCAAAGACTATTCCAAGAAAATTTTGGGCTGAAGTTTTGCCCACATGATCAACTATTAAAAGCATCTTGTTACGTGTGTCTTGATGGGTAGTTACGTCCTTTTCCTCTCGGTTAATATCACAAAGTTGTCCTAATCTCTTTAAGATCTTTCATACTTACCCTCATACTTAATCTTAATATCATATATGAGTCTCATATAGATTTTCGTAGTATTTTTGAGTCTTTTAAGGTCTTGAAATTATCTTAGAATTCTTATAGACATATTTTGGTCATTTACCACCCATATCTTTGTTTAACTTCTCATCATATTCAAATGGTCTTGTAACTTTGTATAATTAGTTTAAACCATGACATAAGGTTCCTCATTATTTTAGTCATTTTACACACACCTTTGGTTTAGCCTCTTATCATAATCTAATTGTCACCAAATTTCATACATAACCTTATCATGTCATATTGAGTCTTCTCTAAAAATTTCACGAGTAACAAAATTCATTTAGAAAGTTTGTGGCTCAGACGCTTCATTGAAATCAATATTCATATAGACAGTAAGATTGGAAAACCTTCCATACTTAACTTTAATTTCAACTTTCATCGTTCCCTTCCTCATCATCCTTTTTTGCGTCCTCTAGGTGACATGTTTCTAAGATCAACATATAGCTTTCCTTAAGTCTACTCCTCGCTATCATAATTCACATCATATTACATATCATCGTAAAAATACAATTGGACCAGTATGATATTTTCACAAACATATAAATAGGTCCAACATCATTCTTCAGCAATAATAAAATCAAAGCTACTAAATTCTATCATAAGCTACATTGTCATGCGCAATCAATATATATATATATATATATATATATATATATATATATATATATATATATATATATATATATATATATATATATATATATATATATATATATATA